CGCCCCCAAGTCTCTCCCGTCCTCCGGGCCCAAGTCGCTGCGGGAGATGCCGCATCCCCTGGCCACGTCCAGCAGCGAGGAGATGGGGCCGGCGCTCACCCCGAGCCCCGACCTGCTCCTGCCTCGCAGCATCGCCGACAAGGTACGGCCCGGGGAAGGGGGGGCGCGGTGTCTCTGCTTGTGGAGGGGAGCACGGAGAGGAGGGAGAAGGGCTCTGTGTGTGCGTGTTTCCCTGCCACATCCCCTTCGCCGGCTGCCTCCCTGGCTTCCCGCGGGGAAACGGAGCCCCGTGCGCTGCAGACATCCATTGCAAGAGCCTGGGGCTGCCCGGAGGGGAGAAGGCTCCTGGTGTGGGGGCTGCAGGCATCGTGTTTCTCTCTGCGAGGGACCAGCGGGGACTCCGATGCTCCCACTCTCACCGGGGTGGGTGCGAGAGGCAAGATGTTACTGATCCCTGGGGCTCATAACCTCTACGAGTGGGTCCGAATGCTTCAAGAATTGTTGCAACTCCCTCGCTGTCTCCTTCCTGTAGCCCTCATGGGGAAGGGTTGGAGCTGCCGTTGTTTCGCTTGCCATCAGCTTGTCTGTGATTGTCCTCTCCAGAGCTGAACTCCTGCTGGCTTCTTCATAGCAGTGTAATATGGAAAGGATGCTGTTGCATGAGTATCTGTGCCGGCTTTCCCTTCCCTAGCTCTGTTATGTGTCCGTGGGACACTAGGGGACTTTATAAAGTAGCATTGCTCGTGTGTGGGCCTTGGATGTGATAACTCTTGAATGTGAAAGCAGAAGTGTCAGCACAGCAGTCCTGGTAGATTAACTACTCTTGTAAGGATTTAGTATCTCTGTGGGCAGACTTCCTGAAGTGTGTTAAGGTAGAATTTCCTAGGACCAAGGGTTGCAAGGAGTAAGACTGGTCTGAAACTTCATAATAAACAGTTCTGGGCCAGCTGGTGTGTACAAGGTGTTACAGAGCTGCTGGTGGTAAGAGGTCCTTCCTGTGGCTGTTCTGGGGAGCGTGGAGCTGCTTGTGGGCAGGATGGGTCTGCTAGTCTCCAAAGGCCTTGGGGCTGCCAGCACTGTCTGTTGTGTTACGCTCCCATGCTCTGGGGGAATGAGTCAAGACCTCTTCCATGTGTCACCTTCTGCTGCCCTGTAACTGAGCTGTACTGACTCGGCACTTGTTCCTGCCGATGTAAGGAGCCTTCTCCTTGAACATTTAACCACTGTCGCTCAAGTGAGAAGCCAGGCTTACCTTCCCTCTGGGAATATATACCTTCATCTAAGAAACTTGTCAAACAGTTGATGTGCCTCTGAGAGAAGGGGGTATGTGAGTAAGGTGGCAGTAGGAATCATTGAGGTTTTTGTCTACAATTGGTTGGATTTACTTGTGTAACTAGATTGCTGTCTGACCAGCTTGTAGCAACTGGAGTTGGCTGCTGCCTTCATAGGTCTTCTTGCAGCTCAGGAGTGCAGTGGTGGTACTGTATTCTGTTAGCACTGTCCATCCACACTGCTGTGTAGCTGGTGAACAGCACTGTTCTGAGGAGTGGCTCACACCCTATAACTTCTTTCCTCAGCTGTATTAAAGAGTTTTTTTGTAAGCAGTCTGCTCTCTGCTTTACTGCTTTGAGATGTCTGAAAAGTGTATCAGTATCCCTGATAATCTAGGAGCGGAAATACCTCTCTAGACTCAGGTCTTGGTCAGCTAACTTCTTGTCAGTAGGAAGAATCTTGCCCAGTTTTTCTACCAGCAACACAGGTTGAGTCCATCTTCTAGTACCTGTAGTACTGTCCTGTTGTAGGCATTTGGCAGCACATACATACTGTAAAGGGAATAGCAAAAACGTGCTGAGGTAAGTGATTTTTAGACTTGAGAGCAATTCTGTGGTTGACCTGGAAGTGACACTACGGTAATGAGCCTTGCAGAATAAAAGGATTTCCAGTAGGAAGAGGGCAGCATTCTTTTTTCCTTCTAGCTGAATTAGCAGAAAAAGCCAAATATCTGATCCTTCTGATGGAAGGAGTCCAACAGCTCTGTTGTGTGAGGAATGTCCCTTCTTCCACTTAATACCTGATGCACTGGCAAGAGAAGAATGAGATGACTTCTTTCCCATCTAAAGAAAAACTTCAGTGAACAAACAGGTGTTCATGTTTAAGGCAGTAGTAAACTCTGCACTGTGTGAGTAGTCTAGAGAGCAAGTATGGTAAGTGGAGGTAAATAGGTGAAACTGCCTTATGTACATCTTTTCATCTTCTGGTGGTCATTAATATTTTGAGAGGCTGGCTTACTAGTCAGCTTACAATGTGTGGATAGCTTTAGTAGTTGGGTAACAGAGGGAGGTCAGTGTTCAAGTCTGGCTCAGATTTAAAGCTCAGCAGCTGTTCTTTATTGATTCTTGAATAGGATCTGTGCTTGTCTGCTCTCTTAGTGTCTTCCTGGAGAATCTGTTGGAGATTGGCACTGCAGGAGAAGTTTGGGTTGAAATCTGATGCTTCAAAGTGGCTCTGAGTCAGTAAGCTTATGTAAAGACCACTGCCCATACCCAGGCCTGTACTAGGACATCCCTCTAGCAGGATGGTGGCAATGGCTGACACATTACTATGGACTAACTGGATTTTCTGGGTGATTCTTACCTGTTCTGAGCAGGTACTTCCTAAACACTGTTGCAGGACAAAAGTATCTAAGGCTGACATCCTCTGATGGGAGAAGATGCAGAAAAGTAAGGGAAGTTGTCTGCCTGTAAATCAGTGCTTCAGTTTCCACTGCCACATCTTGACACAGTCTGACGCTGACACAGCCTGAAGTGGCTGAACCTCTGCCATCTCTGTTTTGTATTCTTTAAAGCATGTTTTCCTTGCTTTTTTAGAGACGCTGAGTAAGAAAACTTTTTCCTGAGTCAGAGAATCCTGGAGGACAGGAACACTGCCTGCCCATGTCCTGTTAGTTTTTGATTCAAATGTGGGATTAATGTAGTAGCTTGGACCCTCTCTAACTTTGAAGTCTCTTAAACTTTTGGTTGCTGTTTTAAGAACAGTGGCTAGTGCTACTAGAGCAGTAGTAGATCATGAAAAAGGGAAGAAAAACCTGTGCTGTTTACTGTGGCTTCCTCGGTTGTAAGGCCTGCTAAGTAGACTAGTCTCAGGTTTTCTGAATTTTATGAAGAGGGCTGCAAGAGCTTTGATTGTCTGAAATACCTTCTTCGTCCTGAGAGAGCTGTTATAAGAGCCAGGAAACCTTGACATCTGAGTAGCATCTAACCTCTTAAATGAAATGGACATTTCTGGTTAAATATTTGGCTTTCACAGGGATTTTGCTGCAAACATAAAACTACTTGTGTTTGTAGATTCTTGTCTCTGAAGCATTTCTGTGCTGGCTACATCTTTCTGTAATGATATTTCTGTTCCTCTCATGGCTAATTGTGTAAAATGTTGTTTGTCCTGATACCTGACCACCATCAGCTCTTTTGAGTTTCTCTCTTGATGCTTGCTAGCTGCCAAACAAGGAGACAGCTAAAGCTGAACCTAAGCAGTACTGACTCCCTCTTTTATATTTTTTTTACCTCAAGTGAGAGGGAAACATGCAGGAAGAAACAATCTGTCAGGGTGCATGGCAGTGTCCATTGCAGGGTTAGCTGTAAATCTGAGTTCTTGCTCTCTTAAGGAGCTTCTGGAAGGCATGCAAGGTAATTGAGATCTGCTTTTTAGAGCAGATCCTCTGCAGCAGAAGGTAAGACAAATGGGGAAGTGTCAGTGTGGATTTCTCTGCTTTTTTTCCCTTTTTTTTTTAAAAAAAAAGGAAGTTCTGCTTGCATGTGAGTACTCCAGTTCACTAGTTTGTCACTTTAGATAGTGAATCTGCCTGCTAGGACAAACCCTTTGCCACTGGGGATAAAAGGCACTGTTAATGGGTTACTGGGTTTGGAGCGGAGGTGAGAAGCAGACATTATTCTGCTGTGTGACTGTACCCAAATGGTTGTAGAAGTATAATATTCAGGATGTATCCCCACTGAGGCTGTGCAGATATAGTAGTATGCTGCTAAGTGTTTGAAGTGCCAGGCTGTGCAGAATTAGAAAGAGTTTGGTATGGCTTGCTCCCGACTGTGCTCTAGCTATGGTCCTTGTAGTCCCTCTAGACTCGTGTAGTGAGAATATCTTTCTAACAGGGTGATGTTGGATGTTCTTGCTATGGTCTGCCTTGAGACTGGCAGCTACCTGATAAGGTCCTAACTCCCAGTAAAAGTGGTTTCTTGCTTATTACTCCAAAAGCTTTCATATCCCACCTGTTTTAAGGCTCAGACTCCCTTGTACTCTTTCAGACATCTGTAATGACCCAAGTTACCTGTAACCTGTTCAGCTTTTCTTTAAAGATGTGCCTGCATTGTATTTGGCTTTAAGACAGCTGGAATGAGCTTCAAGGCTCTCTTACAGATAGTGTCTATCAAGCAGAGCTGATGTGGAATACCAGGTTTGCAGTGAATCCATAGCTTGAATTTGCTAATTCAAGGAGATGGATGTTACAACTCCTGCTGCAAGCTTCTGGTTACTAACTGAAAACTATTGCTTGGATGTGACCCCTTGCTTGTCTGCTTCCAAGCTACCACCTTGGTGAATCACTAGGCCTGTATTAGCACCTGATCAAGTATAAGTACTTGGTGTGTTTGCTAGAGTACTGTTACTTAGCACTCATTCTGGAAGGGAGCCTGGCAGCTCTTCAATAAAAAAATATACTGAGAGTCTGGAGCTCTACTTCCAGCCTCCTTGGTTGCTAGTTTATAATTATTGCTCTTAACTTTATCCACCCACAGATGAAACCAGTTTGCAGTATAATCTGAAATCTTAAAATAGATCTGCCTGAGCTTCTACAAACCTCTTCTTTCTCTGACTAAATGAGAACTGTTAGACCAGCATCATGTATTGTTGTTAAAGCAATCTGGAGGTAAATTCTCAGTCTTGGGGAGAGAATGAAGACTACAGAAAGTCAGGAACTGAAGTTGGTGAACTTATGAAGCAGTGTAAGTATGGATGAGTGATCTTGGTTCTGATCTACAGGAACACAAAACTGACAGTTGGGGAAGTTGAGGCTGGAAGGCACATCTGGATATCTTGTATCCCAACCCCTCAGCTCCCAGCAGGCTGCCCAGG